AATTTAATAATTTATTATAACTTATTATAATATATTATTATTTTATGAAAATGCATATTTTAAATAATATTATTGTAAAAAAGCATACAAAAATGAATAAATAATTTTTAAAATGCATTTAAAAAAAKATTGTATATAAATATTTTATATTAGTGTCACTGATTTGGATTACTCATATAGCACGTGAATAAGGCAAGAAATTTAAAATGATTATAATAGCACGCGCTTCTTATTTTCCAGCCTAAATTACGAACTATTGATTTGAAAACGCTATAACTATTAATGTAACCTATTATTCTAACCATTTGATACCATTGACATCAGAATAATTTAAATTAGAAATCATTTTTATGCAATCCATCATAAGCTACATTAACAGAATTTTAAGAAAATATATGGGGGAGGGGAGCAATGAACGTTATCCATAAAATGTCGTGAATTCGTGATGAGGATATTTTTCTCTCGTGGCTGATTTTTATAAACCAAGTGAAACTATAAAGTATGAATAGGTACAGCTGACACGATAAAAATACGTATTACTTCACGCTTAAAGAACATCATTATATTTAAACAATTGAGTTAAAAAAAAATATAATTTTAACATAAAAAAATGACTACCTATACATTTTATTTTATACGACGCCGACTAGTATTATTATTCATCTTTTGTCAATCTAAAACGTTAAAATTAATTTAAAGAAATAATCAACTAACAAATTAAAATACCTATTACGTACACCTATTACGAAATTTGTGTAATTTAAAATTTTACAACTATGTTGATTTAAATTTTTATATCCACAAAGTTATTCTTGAATAATGAATTATAAACTAGGTACTCAATATATACATACAATGAACTTTAATATACGCTAGTAAGATAAGTAGGTAGTAGCCATAGTAGGATAGGTACTGCAGAATTTTATACCCATGTTAGCAGTAGCGCCAGTAGCTATAATTCGTGTATAAGAAATTAAGAATACATAGATATTGTAAAYACTTCTTCAGTTGTTCTTATTGTTCTTTTTTGCAACAGATTCATTGTAAAAAAAAAAAAGAAGATAATAATATTGTAAATAATATGAGACACTAGCATTATAGGTACCGGCTATACTTACTACTTACTTATAAGTTATAACGCGTTTATTAATATCTCAGTTATTATTTTATAAATATATCATCTTTTAACAATCTTTAGGACTTTCCCTCAATTTGTAATACGACCATAGGCGTAGAATAGTGGGGCCTAAGGGGGCTATAGCCTCCTCCAGAATTCTATTAAGCCCCTTGTATACTGTTTTATACGTCAATATGTGAGAGATCATTTTCAGTAATGAAGCGAATAAAAACATGACTACCTACGAAATTCTATGAAAAGAATAAGATAGATTTTCTAAAAAAAAAAAACTTCACGCTACGCCTATGAATCCGGTTTGGATAAAATTCTCAAAATAAAGGAAATATAAAACCTATTTATTCTTTTCAACAAAATAAATGGTAAAAAGCTGATATGCATATGAGCATAAATTTAATATGCAATAGAAAATACAAAATGCATTCAATCACTGAAATCATATAATATAATAAATTAGCACAACGCAATAAGTAATAACTAATTTGCCACTTTTAGCGTTTAAGGTGCAGTATCCGTCAAAAATAAACAAAACATCATTATGTATGATTCCAACAGAGACAGAGTATAAATGATATATAATCTCTTTTCTTTGGGTTAAATATTGCAAAAGCCCTTAAATTTACAAACATGTAAGTAGAAGTGTCGTTAATTCAATGTAATCTAAGTGATAATCTTATTAATAACGATCCTTATACCTGTCACTTGTCAGTC